ATCATGGGGTGAAGTTAAGGCCTGTCCACCCGTCCCTGCCATCATGGGGTGAAGTTGGGGCCTGTCTACCCATCCCTGCCATCATGGGGTGAAGTTGAGACTTGTCCACCTGTCCCTGCCATCATGGGGTGAAGTTGAGGCCTGTCCACAGTCCCTGCCATCATGGGGTGAAGTTGAGGCCTGTCCACCTATCCCTGCCATCATGGGGTGAAGTTAAGGCCTGTCTACCTGTCCCTGCCATCATGGGGTGAAGTTAAGGCCTGTCTACCCGTCCCTGCCATCATGTGGTGAAGTTGGGGCCTGTCTACCCGTCCCTGCCATCATGGGGTGAAGTTGAGGCCTGTCCACCTCTCCCGGCAATCGTGGGGTGAAGTTGAGGCCTGTCTACCAAACCCGGCCATCATGGGGTGAAGTTAAGGCCTGTCCTGGCAATCATGGGGTGAAGTTGAGGCCTGTCCACCCGTCCCTGCCATCATGGGGTGAAGTTGAGGCCTGTCCACCCGTCCCTGCCATCATGGGGTGAAGTTGACGCCTGTCCACCTGTCTCTACCATCATGGGGTGAAGTTGAGGCCTGTCCACCCGTCCCTGCCATCATGGGGTGAAGTTAAGGCCTGTCCACCTGTCCCAGCAATCATGGGGTGAAGTTGAGGCCTGTCCACCCGTCCCTGCCGTCATGGGGTGAAGTTAAGGCCTGTCCACCTGTCTCTACCATCATGGGGTAAAGTTGAGGCCTGTCCACCCGTCCTGGCCATCATGGGGTGAAGTTAAGACCTGTCTACCCGTCCCGGCCATCATGGGGTGACGTTAAGGCCTGTCTACCCGTCCTGGCTATCATAGGGTGAAGTTGGGGCCTGTCTACCGGTCCCTGCCATCATGGGGTGAAGTTGAGGCCTGTCCACCCATCCCTGCCATCATGGGCTGAAGTTGAGACCTGTCCACCCGTCCCTGCCATCATGGGGTGAATTTGAGACCTGTCTCTACCATCATGGGGTGAAGTTGAGGCCTGTCCACCCATCCCTGCCATCATGGGGTGAAGTTAAGGCCTGTCCACCTGTCCCAGCAATCATGGGGTGAAGTTGAGGCCTGTCCATCGGTCCCTGCCATCATGGGGTGAAGTTAAGGCCTGTCTACCCGCCCTGGCTATCATGGGGTGAAGTTGGGGCCTGTCTACCCGTTCCTGCCATCATGGGGTGAAGTTGAGGCCTGTCCACCCGTCCCTGTCATCATGGGGTGAAGTTGAGGCCTGTCCACCCGTCCCTGCCATCATGGGGTGAAGTTGAGGCCTGTCCACCCATCCCAGCCATCATGGGGTGAAGTTAAGGCCTGTTCACCTGTCTTTACCATCATGAGGTGAAGTTGAGGCCTGTCCAACCGTCCCTGCCATCATGGGGTGAAGTTAAGGCCTGTTCACCTGTCTATACCATCATGAGGTGAAGTTGAGGCCTGTCCACCCGTCCCTGCCATCATGGGGAGAAGTTAAGGTCTGTCCACCTGTCCCAGCAATCATGGGGTAAAGTTGAGGCCTGTCCATCGGCCCCTGCCATCATGGGGTGAAGTTGAGGTCTGTCTACCCGTCCCTACCATCATGGGGTGAAATTGAGGTATGTCCACCCGTCCCTGCTACCATGGGGTGAAGTTAAAGCCTGTCCACCCATCCTTGCCATCATGGGGTGAAGTTAAGACCTGTCCACCAGTCCCTGCCATCATAGGATGCAATTAAGGCCTGTCCACCCGTCCCTGCCACCATGGGGTGAAGTTAAGGCCTGTTCACCCGTCCCTGCCACCATGGGGTAAAGTTAAGGCCTGTCCACCCATCCCTGCCTTCATGGGGTGAAGTTAAGGCCTGTTCACCCATCCCTGCCATCATGGGGTGAAGTTGAGGCCTGTCCACCAATCCTTGCCATCATGGGGTGAAGTTAAGACCTGTCCACCAGTCCCTGCCATCATAGGATGCAATTAAGGCCTGTCCACCCGTCCCTGCCACCATGGGGTGAAGTTAAGGCCTGTTCACTCGTCCCTGCCACCATGGGGTAAAGTTAAGGCCTGTTCATCCGTCCCTGCCATCATGGGGTGAAGTTGAAGCCTGTCCACCTGTCTCTACCATCATGGGGTGAAGTTAAGACCTGTCCACCAGTCCCTGCCATCATAGGATGCAATTAAGGCCTGTCCACCCGTCCCTGCCACCATGGGATGAAGTTAAGGCCTGTTCACCCGTCCCTGCCACCATGGGG